ACAGTACAATCGTACTGGACTAGTCCTGCAACGATATACACCACTATACATAAAATATGTTCTTATGTATTTGTGTTTTGTCTTGTTATAATTGTTTTCTAGTGCTGTAATTGAATTTATCAACGGACTAGTATCTGCCAGTAAATCCTCTGAGATTTATTTTTTTCAGTTGTATATTACCAATACTTTGTACTTTTTTTTTCTCCGAAAATGATTGAATTGGCGAAAATTTAAATTACTTAATAATTATGTTATAATTGAGATTACTAAGGCCTAAAAACTTTTAATAATTAAACGACTAGATTTCGTGAAAAAACAAATTTTATAAAAAATAAACATATAATTGAAATTAGCGGATATCTTCTCAAATTATTGAACTATTTCAAATTTTAGTTTCTAGTAACTAAAAACCTAAATTAATATTTTGAAATTAATTTTTTTTTATTCACATCTTGCTTATGGACAAGAGACAAATATATATTACGCCAAAAACCCTAGGAACGGCAGGTGACCTTCATGGAATTTCATTTCACTATTAGCCTCCGATGATCTCTCTCCTTTTACATTTAAATACGGTCTCTTATTGTATTTATCTACCCCAAGAATCTTAATATTTTTTTTTCCTGAATTGGAGTAAATATCTGTATAACAATCAGCTTCATTTTTTAGTTGTTATTATTTTTATATAATATTAAATTATTTAATAAGATTTTTATTTATTTATTGTTACACAAAAAAGATTAGTTGTGTTCAATGATTATGAGGCACAGTGGGCTTTTTTTAAATAAAAAAATATTGACTGTTTATTGTATTTGATAAGCTTTTTTTTTTTAATTTTTTTTTCTGCCCTCCCTTCCTCGACTTTTAAGTTATACAGGGTTTTGCTGGATCAGAGGGCGAGGGCGGGGTATTAATGTAAGAGTTCTCTCTTGTTCGTAATTATTTTAGCATATTGTCTCCCATTAGCCCGCTTGGCCACTCCGCCTCCTAGAATAAAGTGATTAGAAGGACGGTCAAAAAGTTGTTATGAAGCAGTAAACATGATCATAAGGCTGTTTATGATCGTCCATCAAGCTGCTGTTTTCATTTTTAATTTATTAGTTTTTATATACCTTTGTTTTTGTATTTAAAATTCAAGAATTCGCATGTAGTTATAACTCTTATAGTTATAAATCGCAAGATTTCAAATTTATTATTAGCTAAATGAGGGCATGTAGTCAAAAGATGGCATTAACTAAAATGTAAATTGTGAAAAAAAATTGCATTAATTTTTTTAATTTTTCATGTAACTTATTAATTTATTTTTTTGTAGTTGTATTCTAAGTTAACATCAGTGCCAGGATATATAATTACATTTATGCGTTATACTCAACATGTTGTGGAACAATAAATGTTTAGCTTGTCCCTTGATCTTATCAATAGTTCTTTATAAAATACACTTTTTATTTATACATCTTTTATTGTTGTTGAGCATCTTGTTTCTGTTTAATTTATTTGTTTTATATATACCATATTTTTATTTATTTCAGGACTTTAGGGAGCCTAATAGCTCCTTTATTATCAGGACTCTAGGCGCTCTTTTTGACCGCTTACCACTTTATTCGTCTTAGACCACGAAGACTTTTTAATTAACTCGAGCTCTTCCTGATCCTTATTTCCTTTGCTATTAAACAGACACAGCATCATAAAACTCATATTGAGTCGATCAACTGAGTATGCCCTTGAGACCTCGTTTACGACGTACGTGGAGCGTACCTCATTAGAAATCCGTAGAAATTTAGTGACCCGGCAGCAATAATACTATGGATGAAGGTTAAATTAAAATTAATCACGACGTAGCAAAATTCTTATTTTACCCAAGTTTCCTGCAAGTTGAACCTTTTCCGCAGTTCAATGTATATTGATATAACCTAGAGATCGCCATCGATAGTCGATATTATCGAAATATCGATATTTTCCTTCCGATATTTGATATTTTACCATGGATAGTATCTTCTGCACTATTATCTACTATTGATATCGTCCCTTCGATGTTTTAATATTTTAAATTAAAATTAAAACTATCGTTTTCGGAAAGCGCTAGGGGTTATATATGACCTGCTATATATGACCTGGAACTGTTGTTCTAGGAATTTCTTTGACCAACCCCGCATCGTAATCTTCAAGGCTGAAATCTTCCCCTCGATTTTTTTTTAAACCATCGTTGAATGTTGCACTCATTCATACAGCCATCGTCTCGACTTCATTGATGTCTCTGGCCTTTATGCCGAATTTAAACTCGTAAATTATGTGAATATCACGCTTTGCCATCTTAATAAAAAATATCATAGTCTTTAAATGCTACACAATATAAAAAAACATTTTTGTTTGGGACAGGATCAGCGAATAGCAATAAATGATTTAAGTTCTATATTCGGTGTTTTTAAAGGATAAAAAAAAGAAAGATATCGATTGATATTTTTTTTTTACCAAAGTAATGGCAAATAAAAAATAAAATAATATTTGAAAAATAATATCTGAACGTGGAATTTTTCATTAAATTCATAATTGAATTAATAATTAGTAATGATGTTTTGCTGACTCGAATAAATTTATTAATGTTATTATTATTCTTAGTAAAGATTCATCTATGCTATTTTTTTTTAAAATTTTAATACGCTCTTCATTCATCGCATTGTGCACATTACAACCTTCTTCAAGAAAATCCTGATAAAATGTCTTAATTCTCACTCAATGCCTTGAATCTAGTAATTCATGCAAGACAGCTGTAAAAGGAATGAATTTATTCATTTTTTATACACTCAATTCACATCCGCTTACCCATATCGTGAGGGAGTGTTGATGATTTATTTATGTTATTTTATGATATATTTATATGTTTGTCAACATATACAACTTTACTACATAACAGAGAGCTAGTAATTAAATTTATCATTATTTTTAAAAAAGTTTTTTCTAGCATTTTGAATTCTATTCAGTTTGATTTCACTGCAATTAATTTTTATTATTTTAAAGTGAGAAGCAAATTTATCTGTATATAGATAGGTGTAGATCTCCGTACCTTTTGCTCCTCTATTAGTTAATCGCTTTTTATGTGTTTTTGTTGGGTAGCTATTGACAAACTTCAGTGTTATTAATAAAATAATGATAACAAATGTAGTGTCTGCAACTAATGTAGGTAGTCTGCTACTATGTAATATAACAGAGGAAAATAAAATATGAAATTATACTAATTAATCATAAAGGAATAATTAGTTTTTATACTCTCCCGTAAAACAATCAATATTTACATTTTTCACTAAAAGTATCTATATGCATGTTCAGTGTGTATTAGGATTTTTTTTATTAAATCACAAATCATAAAATTCCCTCATTTTAATATTCGCTGGAGAATAAAATGTGTGAATAACAAACCCGCTTATGTTGAGATATTGTATTTCCAAAACCAGCTTCTTCCGGAGATTTTATTCTCATACGAAAAATTATAGACCTTGAAATATACATATTGTTCATCCAATGAAAACGATGAGGACCTTAATTGGCAGACGTTTTAATGTTGCCTTGATGCAGACGTTTCATATCTGATTGAGCACGGGCAAGTTTCCAAACTCAGCGCTGAGCTTCTCGATGACTAAATCATATCATCGATAAACTCAGCGCTAAGTTTGGAAACTTGCCCGTGCTCATTATTGTTTTTAAGCGAAGTTTAAGAACTTAATAATAGTTGAAAGAATTTTCAAGGTACATGGGTACGAGAATAATTAAAATAAGATTATAATGATCTATTATTACTGATGACTCTTGGGAACAAATAATTGATTGTTACAGAGTAATCCACAAGCTGTCATTTAGATAATTGTTCTGCCAAGGGGAGGCTACAGAAGAGGTGTCACTGATTTCAATGAATATTTTTTTGGTGATACTAAGTCGAAAAATATTAGATCCATGTCCGAGGCTAGAATAACATTTTTTCCTACTAATTGTATCTCCTTAAAAACATATTCGTACCTACTTTGCTCTTTCAATCGATACAGAGGGGTGTTCATATTATTTTTGGGTGTTTATTATAATATATTAAATATTATGTGGCTATTTGAACAGTTTACCAGTGCCTGTCTTAGAAATTCGGCCTCAGACAATGACGTCATCTCCCACTCTAAAAAAATTAAATTTTTTTCTTAAACTGTTTTGTATTAGGTAATATTTGAATTTTATTGCGTTCAACATTTCTCTTATACAGTTGCTTTATTGGTAGGCTAAAACTATTTTTTTTAATACATTTTGTAACTTTTATTTTTAAATGGCGAGTGCCTTTGAAGATTGACCGGCGCACAGTGGGACGAGTAAGGGAAAACTTGCGACATCGGCTGAATCATTTTTTTTTTTAACTATTCAATAAAAACAGTGAACAATGGATATTCTACAAACCGAAAATATTCTTGGAAACTTCGCTAACACAAGGTATCAATAAAAACAGTTTATCTAGTTTTTGGAGGTTTGAAAAAAAAGAAAAGATTTAAACAGATTCAAATAGATGCCTCAAGTTTTCCCTTACTCGTCCCACTGTGCGGCGTCTCTCTAGGTTTGCGGCCCGGAGCAATTGCCTTGGTTGTCCCACCCTGAGGCCGCTAATGCACTTTAAATTAGTTTTGTATTTCATATAATAATAGTGAGGAGGGTATCTCATAACCCATGCGAAGTTTTTATATTTAATATTTATGTAAATGACACTAATATTCGATTCACTTACACTCATGCTATATAAAGCAGCTGTATCGTAAAACAAAATTTAATTTATAAAATGAAATAATTAATTTAATAATATATTTAATTTTTTATTACATTATAATATTAGTAGATTTATTTATTTTTGAATTATAGTTTGTTTTGTTTATGTGTGAAAATGAAAATAAAAGGAACTGTGATAATGTTCGTTAAGATGATGTATAATAAAGTTAAAATAATAAAATCTCGTTGGAGTCCTTGAAGTTAATCTTATGCGAACGATCAACTAAGCTGGCGTTGCTTTTGAAACGTTTCAAGGAGTTATCAAACCTGTTGATAAGCGTGAACAACCTGTTACCACTTGACAATAACGCAAACTGTGAAGTAATATAGACCTGATTTCTAACTAATGTCGCCTACAATTGTTAAATATGGTTTCCTACCCATCAAGAGGACTGTGTTTTTTCTCTGTGATTTTCAGGAAAAGTTTAGGCAAATGGTGCATTTTAATGAAATTGTAGAGTCAGCCAAAAAGCTGGTGAGTTTAATGTTTTATTATGAAAACTGTCAATTCTTTACACGATTTATTATCTGAGGCACCTTTTATGTTTACTAGTATTTATGGCTTTGTGGATTGTTTTCTTAGATTTCAACTGCAAAGTTAATGGACATCCCTTTGATTGTTACTGAGCAGTATCCGAAAGGACTAGGAAATACAATATCAGAATTAGATATTGCACATGCTAAAGGTGTTTTTCCAAAGACAAAATTTAGTATGGTTGTGCCAGAAGTCTCAAACCAACTTGATTCTCTATGCGGTGGGAATGTACAGTGTGTTGTTTTATTTGGTATTGAGGTATGTTTCAAATGATCTCACTGTATTCCTGTAGTAGTGTAATTAAACTTTATTGCCTTATGTTTTGTTAATTTTAGGCCCATGTGTGTGTAGAACAGACAGCGGCAGAACTTTGTGCCTCAGGATTGCAAGTGCATGTTGTTGCAGATGCTTGCACATCAAGAACTCAAGAGGATAGGCTGCTAGCATTCAAAGTGATTTTTTTGTTTTATTTATTTTATATGCAATATTTAACAGATAAGGATTTGTATGGATTGAAATTCAATAGAAATGAATGATTAATTAGAACAAATTATTCCTTACCATTAGTTAGCAATTATTCCAGAATTGCTTCATAAATGATAATTGAAACAAAGGAATATAATTTTGTTTAAAATAAAAAATAAATAGATATTATTATTTAGTATAAGTGAATTCACTTTTTAAATTACATATTTTAGGGAATTTCTTATTTTTTTATTTATTAATTTTTTCGAAATATTTTTCTGTTTAAAAGTATGTTGTTTTTTTTTACATTGATTCTTGAGAAGTTACTTTTCGTATTTTCTCTTTTATTTCACAATGATAAATTTTGAGTAGTAGTGTACCTACACAACTTTATGTCATGCTTGTCCAGTTTGATACTGTTAACTGTGTTTTTTATAAAATATTGTCCCTTCTTTCTGTATCGATTCCATTTAGTTTTGAAGGGAAATTAATTGCATATGATGACTTTACTCAATATATGATACCAAACCAAAAAAAATATTTAGATGGCCTGAAATATTATGAACTATTTTTTATTATTTTGAGCTCTAATTGTTTGAAAACACTGTTGGATTCTCTCCAAATAATTTGAGCCTTCAAACTTGAAGATTAATTGAGTTATTCACTCAAAAAATAGTTATATTTTTATAAATGGCCAATCTAAACATAACAAACCCTTCTTGTAGTTGGGTAATTACAGATAAAATTGTTGGTGAGTGATGAAGGAAAATAAAATAGCTTGATTTATTTTTATTTAAAAAAAAAAATTATTATTTTTTTTATTTTAATGAAATTTACAACTTATAACTGTATTACATAGAAAATACAATAAGTAAATGTGACATTGATAACATGACATGTACAACATGAAGAGAAACTACCCATTGGTAGAATTCAAATTAAAGTTCTATATTAGAAAGTCCCGAGGCCATCTTCTTTTCAGATGCCTCGGAGGATTATCAGGGATCGAGGAGGAAGCAAGGTTTGAAACGAGAGGATTCGGATGGTTCTGCAGTTTGTTATGGAAGGATAGGTATCTGGATTGGGGCAAATCTTTTTCATAATTTAGTTATGATTATTTACAACTTGAGTAAAACTTTTAACAAAAAATAGAAGAATATATTGGAATTTATATTTTATTAAAATGTTTTTTTAATCATAATTTTTCATATGTATTAAATATCTAAAAAATGTAGTATATATTCATTCATTATTGGCGCAACAGACATATATAGAAGTGCTTGGCCTGATCAATTTCCTTTACCCAGTCATCTCTGTTGGCTGCTGCGCACCTGATGGATATGCCATTTTTTCTCAAGTCTTCTTTTACTTATCTGTACATCTTGCCTTTGGAGTTTCTCTAGACCTAACTCCCTCTCGCTTCCTATGATAAAGCCTTCTGCTGTCCTCACTTCATCCAATAATAGTATATATTATTAAAGAAAATTATGTTTGACTTAATAAATAATTACTTTTATTTTTCAAAGTAATTTTTAATTTCAATTAAAACCTGCTTGACTCTCATTTAGTTTATGATTAAGGTGTTAGTTCCCAGGTGAACAATTACCAGTGAGCGATGAACTATCCTAAACATACTGTTGAATATTCATACTGAGTTATACATTTATTTTCGTGATATGAATTTGTGCTGTGGCATAATTAATTTAACATTGTTAAAGATTTATTTGGCTGTTGAGAAAAAACATAGAATTTTCTGGTTATGAATAGTTTTATTTATTATCAGTGACTAACACAGTGAAAGTGTAACTTTCAACTTGATAAAACGTTAGTCACTCATTATCAGCACTTAAAATGTTAAATGGTCTCTTATCTTCTTATTGTTTCTCCAATTTAAAAAAAAAAATAATAAAAAATAAATAAGTTTTATGCTTACTGTTTTAGTTTATCATTATTCTGTTTTTCCATATAATTTAAAAATATCCGGTGTATTCAATATCTACTTTATTGTTTTTAGGAAGGAAGGATGGTTAATGCAATATTTTCTTGTTTATTAATAGCGCTTATTAATGTTATACAACTTTAAAATATTAGTGAATGTAACTAAAAAGTTATATTCACTAATACCTTAAAATTGTTCAATTATTGTAATGATCTTTAAATTAATATTATTGAAATTATATCTAATTTATATTTAAGTGCAATTATACTTATTTATTTTTATTTTCTATTACTTCTATATATATATATATATATTTGGCTTGAGAAGATCAGAATATTGCTTCATGTATGGCATCTTCTGATATTGTATTTAGAGAATATATTCTTAATCTTAAAAATGTTTCTTTTAGTTCAGTTTTTAATGATTTTATTTAAATGTGTTCTAGCGTTTGCAGCAAATTGGTTGTTTCGTTGCAACATCAGAAAATATAATCTTCAAGCTCCTTGGTGATAAAGAAAACCCCCATTTTAAAGAAGTTTCAGCATTAATTAGACAACCTATCACAGCCACTGGTCTTGTGTGATTCTATTTTCATTTTTACAGAAAAAATGAATCACATAATTCCATTTTTAATGTAATTAATATTAATTATTCAACCTCAATAATTTTATGTCTTTTTTTAGATTGTACTATTTCTCATTTTTTAAAATATTTGGTAATTTAACATAAAATTAATGGTAAGGAATATAAAAGTATCTAGGTATATTTATTTGTTTTAAAATAGTCATGAATCGTTAACAATTTTAGGTGAAAAAGTTGCCGTTATATTCATTTAAAGGTAAAATGAGGCCCTAATTTATCGCTACCCCTTTAGCCTTTATTATTTTTTTGTAAAATTGTTTTCTTTGGTTGTGAGAATGCATTATATAAAGTTAAGTCGCATCACCCGTATTAGAGAATTTTGAGACTGAAAAAAAATAAACAATGTGTCTTTTCCCGTCCATCTTATTATAAGTTATATAAATGATGTTTTATTTACTTTAAGAGAGACTTTCCTGGTGTGCTCAAAATTCTTATGTTATGTTTCATTATAAAATAATAAATGTACTTATGTTAGTATAATTATTTTTTATAAACTAAATGTTGTTTTTAATTTATGTTCTAAGAACACTAATATTATATTTTGAACCTAAATTTAAAGTTCTTAAAAATATAACATTTAGTGCAAGAATTGGTTTTTGTTAAATTGTTCAGTCGCAGCACTCAATTTCTATGTTAACATCGTATGATTTTTTAAAGAAATACTCCAAGATGATTTATAAAAAAGAAATTACTAATTGGGAGAAATTAAGTTTAAATAATTAGTAATTTTCAGGTTTCAGGTCAAAACAAATAAAAAATGCTATAAAACTACTTCATTCAAGCTGCTGTTTACTGGCATTTTCAAGAAATAACAAACTTTTTATTATTTTTGTACATTATATTAGTAATTTTGTTTTGTTTTGTGAATATATTGTCAGTGTTTATATGAATGAGAAAGGGAGGATGCAACTGTTTATATAATTTAATGTTATTTATAATTGAAAATTATTTTTTTATTTTTTATTATCAGCTACCTAAGGCAGAAAAAGTTCATTAATAGGTTAAAAAAAATTGATTGAGGTCCTCACTTTACTTATACATTTTAGGGTTGTTTGAGACCAAAAGAAATAAATTTTTAAAACTATTGTATAGTCTAGAAGAGTCTTCTATCTGAAAAATAATATTAATTAATAAAAGAAATAAGTATCTTGTCAATAGAATATATTTGTTGTTATCACATGAAATGCCAATTTTTCAATCAGCATTAATAAAAATTATGTCGATATAATCTAATTTTATGAATTGAACAAAATATTGTTCTTGGCTATTCTTCTATTGTGCATATTTTTTATTGCTATACATACAATTTCTAAGTCTGAAATGAAGTAATTTTTTATCACATTACCAATTGTAAACACGTCTTTCTGTTCAGTGAGCACTGAACATCTTCCATTTTTAAGCCAAGCAAATTTCACAAGAGATATGTTTTATGATTCTTTCTTATAGCTTTTTATTTATTTATAGCTTTTTGTATTGTGTTAAAATTGTATGAGTAACCAATTATTTTTCAATGACTAATGGGTTATTCTTTTTTCAGATACATTGCAGCTTATTCATTATATTTTAAATTTTCAATCATTCTTATTGATAAAAATATGAAACAATATTCATTTTATTTGCATGAGATAAATCAATTGAACGTTAATGTATAAACCAATAGATTAATGAAATATACTGCTTTTATTTATTTTGTCAATAATTAAATGGAATTGAATGGAGCTATTATTTTAAAAGAAGTAGTCTTGTAGTGATAATGTTGTGTTCACTTTAAATTATAAAATATAATATACATTGTTTTAATTTTTTCTATTGGTAGTGATAAATGTCTAGTCTAGAATTTTTACCATTTGCTTTTATGAAAGAGGTGTATTGGAAATTCAATCATACAAGGCAACAGTTAGAATTAATTTAGTCATTATATATATAGTCGCTAATTTTTTTTGTTACATGTGATACAATTGAATTTTTGGTTCTTGTTAGTGCATAGAATATGTTGTTTCTAAAACTAAGCAATTCAAAATGTTGATGAATTTTTCTCGATCAAATCAGAACATTAAGCACTTATTGCAAAACAATTTTTGACATATATTAGGGTTTGTGTTAATTTAATGATAAATAAGTTTTTGCATAGATATATATGATCGAAATTTACAAATTTATACTTTAAAGATTAGCTCAATAAAAAAGTGTAATTTGAGTAAATATAAACCCTCAATATTGTTTGTGCATTTTTATATTATCAATTTACTTTCTATGCACTGATCAAAAATTGTGCAAATGATATCTTTGTGATAATTGTTACCACTGTCTAAGTAAGGATAAGGAAAAAAATGTTGATAATAAAACAAAATTTTTATCAATTATATTTAATTATAATAATCTGATCTTGTGTTTGTTTTCATGAATAAAAAATGAAATTGATTCACATCTGAAAATTTTTATATTTTGTTTGTATTAATTTAGTTTATTTTCTAATGTTTCAATAAAACGGGAGTGAAAAGGGATAAATAAGTGGGCTTTTGTGTAAAATATCAGCTTTGTCATTTTTATTTTCAGAACATTGAGTATTTTTTAATTAGTTCATTACTAAAATAAACTTTATTTATAAAATATATGTAAAAATATAATTTTACCATGATTTTTAAAAATTATCATTTTTATTTAAATTATATATATATATATATATATATATATATATATATATACATATATAATTTTAATTATGGGATTTGGTTCTTTCTTCTAGTTCTAATTTTAATATTCATGTTTTCTGAAAAAGGTTTTTTATTTATTTATTTATATGATATTTACAACTGTATACAAAAAATACATCTAGTAAATTCGCACATGGGTATAATGACATGAAACACATGTTGAGAAACTACCCATTGGTAGCACTCATTGAAAAATAATGAAAGAAATAAAAAGAAATTATTTTTCAATGGTGAAAAAGGTTAAAGCAGAGGATTTAATTATTTTGGTGGGATTATGGTTTACCATTACGAACTGGAAAAAAATAGCTTTTTAAAGTTTTAATATAAGCTTAATAATAATAAGCTCTCATCTTAAATTGGTATTGATGGGGAGGCGGGGAGAGAGGGGGAGGGGCCGAGCGGACCAACACCTGTGCACAGCATCGCCATTGCCTGGTGTCCTGATATATGAGATAATTTGGTAAAGATAGTCACGAATTCGCGTCCCGGTACTGGGAGAATCTTTCAACACTGGAATTAATCCCTTGCCCTTACCCCCTGGCCCAGGAAAACACCTTATAGCTTGAAAGGCGAGGAAGGGGAGGACAAAAAAATGAAATGGAATGGTATTGATGCCGTTTTGTTTTGTGACATGAGGATTTTTTTATGCCTGATTATGGCTATTTCTAAAATTAAATACTACTTTCCTTGTTAATTTTGCTTCTTCAGAAAAAAAATATTGTCCTTCGGAAGTAGAGTTTCCTTCCTTCAATATCCAAGTGCTTCAGTATTTCATCAGAATGCAGCATTATAAACAACAGTTATATTGCTAATCTTATTTTCAAGAAATATTAAATGTAAATATTAAAATTAGGATAGGTATAGCTAGTAACCTAATAATGTAAGGTCCGTTTATCATAACTGAAATCAGTTCGAGTGAAAATTTGTAAATGTTTATTTTTTTAAATGCAGCAATATTTTAACATGTATTTTATAAACAAAAAGTATATTTGGATAAAAAAAAATGATAGTTTTTGAATTGAGGATTCCTGTGGGGAATAAGAAAAATCTCAGGAGAGGAAATTGGACTGAGGGAAGAAGAGCCAAGCAGTAGTTCTTGAATGTATGTAAAAAAAATTAATAAATAAATAGTAATTTACTAAAATACATCCCCTTATATACAAGAAATTATTTATTGCAAATGTTGTTGCTGAAAACACTCATATTTTGAGAAAATAGTATTTTACATTACTATTTCCCCTTACTATATCCCCTGTCCACCTAATGGCGGACCAATCCCCATTTTATGAATTATACAACTGTTCATTTAATTGTACTACTTGTTTCTCAAATTATGTAACTCTAATTTACATGTATTCTGTAGTTCATAGTGTATAATTTTTTATCAACATAAAATAAACAGAACAAAACCACAGTTTGGACAAATTGTTAATTTCTTTAAAAATTTATATAATTATAATTATTCTTATTACTATTTGCAGCTATAATAAGGGATAATTAATTATGGGAATATGAAGTGTGTTGTCTTTGTTACGGTACATCCCGCTTTGTATATGTAAAATAAAATCTTACACGGTCACCATTAAGAAATTTTTTATATAATAGAGAGATTTATTTTTTTATAAAACTGGAGGCTACATTTAGCTTATTCTGTTATAAATCTCAACCGAATATAGAATTCAATTATATTAAACGAGAGAGTTTTTCTTAAAGTGGGAATTTAAAGTCCAGTAGGAGGCTACTAGAAATTTTGTGAATAATCATGGTTTAAAAAAACCAGCAGAACTTACTGTAATTCTGCAGCTTAAATACCCTTTTAAAATGGTTTTATTAAACACAAATTATGCTTGAGATGGAAGACAAATTTGTCTAGTTTACTATTCTACAATTAGTAATTACTTAATTTAAATATAATTTTAGTTACATTTCCTATTAAAAAAAAGAGTTATCTAAAACAATACAAAACTTATTTTTATACTTTTGAATTTATAAATTGATGATAGTTCTATACAATTTAGTTTAAAAACTCATTTTTTTGTATAAAATCGGATCATGGTCAATGTGAACTGTCTTACTGTTCTCATGATCTACTATCACCCTTCAAATATTTCCCATTATTTATGGAACACTGGAACACTGTGTTATTAATTTGTCTACACATATTTGGTTGTTGTGTAGATTGTTGGTTAGCAAGGTCTACCTTTAACCAACCACTAAATTTTGCAGTATTCTATTTTCTCATGTTTAATTATATATAAATATAAATGATTAAGCAGAGATAAATTTTTGTAAATGATAAATGATCAAGTAGAAATTTCAAAATTAGAGTCTCTTGTTGTAATCTAAATCATTAATAACTAATATTAAACTCATTTAAATTGTTCCTCATCTGTTGCTCCTCTCACTGAACGTGGTTGTCTCACCAAAATGGTGGTCCTGTATGTTTTCTACTTTTTCAACTGTATTTCATCAACATACAAATATCTTAATAATACCTCTGTTTTATATGTTCATATGATGAAAAACAAATTGTAATTAATTAAATTAAAAAAAGTATAATTATAATGGCTAAGAGAAAATAAAAATACTTGAGGTTTGTAAATCTTTATATTTATCTAACTTAATTAATATTTTTAATTTTGTAATTTTTTAAAGAGTTTCGGTGATGACATTCTGCAAAAAATGCTAATATTAATTTATGTTTTCATTTAGTAGTAGTTTTCCTCTTGTCGCTTATTAAGTAAACAATGTCTCATTTTAAAAACTATGAGAGAAAATGTTGGTAATTTGGAAACCTTTGGATATTATGGAACCCCTTACTATCTTAGGATCAAATGAGTGTGAAGTGCAGTGCAGTATCTTCCTCAATCTTTAGCTAGCGAGAGATAATGTTGCTTCAGTTACCAATACATATTTTTAATGGATTTTTCAAAATTTTGAAAAAACTAGTTCACATTATTATTTTGTTTTGTCATCCAAAAATTGTAGGTATTAACGATAGGCATTGGATCAAAGGAAAGTATTGTTGAGATTTTCAATAGTGAACCTGTTTCCCAATTTTTTTTTAAGACCTATTGAATCCAAGATGGCCATGCTTAATATTTGGAATCCCCATGGATATTGTTATGTGGGACAGTTTTCCACTGCCCCCCTGCCATAAACGACTTCAAAAATCAATTCAGAGAAGAAAAATAAAAAAAGGTGAAGGAAAAACTACAATGAAGCTACTCCATCCATACCTAAAGAATTAACGGATTTCCACAGAAGCAGCAATTTCTTTTAGCTGCAATTATTCAAAAGTGATGAAATTGAATTTTAGGATTCAAAGAAATTTGTAAATATAAAAAAAGACAACCCAATCAAGTCCCACATAAATATTAAAATTATCACCTCTTAGTTTTAACTGTGAAACAATACATGTTTTGCAGATATAAATAGTTGGAGGGAATGACATTATCTCTTATGTCTCTTTGTGAAAAAAAATATATACATATATAGAGATTTCTCTTGTGGAAGAGGCAGACTAATATGTTTTCTGCTTGCTTTCTCTTAATAAAACTAATGTTTCCTGTAACCATTGTTCTATCTTGATTTTCATACGTATAAAAACTGAACCAAATATATTTTTGAAAAAGTCAATTTTTATTTCCTAACGGTATAAAGTTTTTGGATTATAAGAATTAATTTTTCTTCTAAGAAGTGTTACAACCCTTATTACAGTCTGAGATGTGATGTACAAGGAGCAAGGATTTCAAAAATAAAATTAACATACAACGTGCAATATATCGATAATAACCTAAGAAAAATTAGGCAAATCTCATAATTGAGATTGTTTAATGAAAATCGATAATAAACTTAGAACATTAATTTAGGTTTAATAATGATATGAAAGGCCATGAAGGTAGAAAAATAGTCCGAAACGTTGAGGTGTATAGGAGTAAAGTTATAAGAGTTACAGCACTTCTTTAAAATTAAACATTAAAATAAAATCCAAAACAAATATTACCCACATCTCAAGCCATTGAATCTACTTTGATGATCTTTTAGGATAAAATTGAGTTTCGCTTATTTCTTAATTTAAGCAGAGTTTATTTGAAATTACCATAAAGAAAAAAATTTTTTTTTTTTTAATTTCTGTTACTGGTAATTCAAAAACAAAGACTTTTCAAATCTTTTATCATCTCTTTCAACAATAATTTTAAAAGTCGAACTAAATTTAATCGTTATTATCAATGGTGTATGCAACAAGAGTGCCCCCCGCCCCAAGGTTGATGGCGCAAGAACCTATTCCCTACTCTCAATATATTTTATAGCTTACTTTTTTTAAAAAAACAGAGCAAGCTAAGGTATAATTAGACAAATCATAGATTATACACAATTATACTTGCTGCGGTCTGTTCCATGTTTTCCTCTTGTCGCTTATTATGAAACTTTTCATTCATAAATTTCATAATCCTGTCGAAATCTTCTCCCTTTAAAAAATCAAAAACCCGCCAAAATATGCTCCCTCAAAAATTTTGGTGGCGCGAGTTGCGCCATCAAATCCCCAACTGGCACTACTGGCAAGCAGCTTATTTCATATTAGCAGGGATAAGACGAAAATATTGTTTACTGAAAAGTTTATTGTTATTACAATTGATAAATATTTTTATATGAAATGTAGTATATACATAGAACAACAATTTTTTAAAATTCATTTTCTCGTTTAGGTAACTAATGTTCTTGATGATTTTAATACCCGAAGTTCTTTCTTACTTTTTTTTTCTTTCAAAATTTATAGCATATCAATTAGATATAATTTGGACATTGGATGAGTTAGGAGTACACAGCGATGACCCAGGACCAGACAGCGGAACAGGTTGGGTAGCGGTCTCCCACCCCCCACCCTCACCCCAGCCAGAGGCAGCGCGCACTCAGTACGACCGGTGTAGTGATGGTGCGCGTGTGTTGGTGACTGCGCATCCTTTAGTGACTGAGGACTAGGCTTAGTTAGTGATTGGCTATGTGGTACTGACTACATGGCGATGTCAGTTTACCAGGGCAATCGTCTCGTGAGGGCGATATGCCTCCTGTGGTTCGTATGTCTGTCAGTTGGGCAAGGTGAGGTCTATTATTTTTCTAGTATATCTAGCCATAACTAAAGTATATAGATTGCTCCAGATACTTTCTTCTTAAATCTTTTGGTAGAAATAAGCATTGATTCATAAATAAAGGATATCTTAAATAAATTAGATAGAACTAGCCTGAAATCAAAAGGCATTGATGAAAAACATTTATAAGAAACATGAGATATCATTTAGTGCAACATTAAGATCACTACTCTTGTGTTAATGTGACATAATTATTTTTTAAAAAGTACACAAGCCCGTGTTTCTGTGTCTTCGTTTATGCATTTAATTGAAAAGTATGTTAAACTTTGTAGTTTACCTAACAAAAAACTTATCCAGTAAGATTTAAAACTTATTTTTTTGTAATTTAATCTATTCAAACAAAATGAGATAACATTTTAGAAAGCACTTTATTTTTACAACAATTTTAAGCAATAGTTTATTACTAAGTTTGTTTATATCTATATTTATATAGGCTACTCATGTGACTCGTTTATGCTATGTAATGATACGATGCTCGAGATAAAATCACAATACTCCTACTCCTTTGCTTTGGAATCCGAAGAAAAATTAGAATGGTTTTATTTATCTCTTCTTCTAAACGTGTTATGGATTCATAAATTTGTGAATTAATATCACACATCAGCTGATACCTTTCTCTAGAAAGTGTTAACGACAGTGGAAAGTGGAAAGTTCCGGTCCGCGTCCACGGGTAATAAATAATCGGCTAAGCACAGTGTACAGAACCAGTGACATCAACGCTGGGTCAGGAAAGTAGTTTCATGCAAATCTCCTAGGTTTGCGAATGATGTTCAAAAACATTAAGTTTTGTCTAGACATTTTAGCAACGATAGTGAATTATTTTGATCAAGTTTTCATTCATTTCGATATAAATTATTTTCTTTTTAAAATGATTATAAAACTATTCCTAAGAAATTACAGATTTTTGAGAACTATTATGTTATTACTTGGAAACTATTGTAAACTAAATGTGTGTATATATATATTAGATATTTCAATTGATTATAGGTGTCAGTTGACAATTAAGTATTTCGATTATTATTGTCAAATGTGATAGGTGCCAGGCACTAGCGGATCCAGGATTTAATTTTGGGGGGCTTCAGCCCGAAAGATTTTTTTTTCATATACATATAACGATAATTAATTTGAAAAAAAAAGAAAAGAAATTAACTACCTATATGAAATAGTGTTTAAGTGGTTCTTGAAGTCTTATTAAATATAATTACACGAACAAGAATACTTTAAGAGATAGTATTTAATACTTTTTTCTGTAAAATATGTTTATATTTTACCATTTTGGTGGGGAGGCTTCAGCCCGAAAGCCCCCTCCCCCCGTAGATCCGCCTGTGGTGCCAGGACAAAGTATATTGTATATCGAACTGGATCTATCAAGTGAGCTATTCAGTATGTTAATAATGCAAGGAGGGAAGCCTCTATGATAATTTTCTTTCTTTCTTTCAAATAGGAACATAACAATGACGGCCGACAAAGGAGCCATCTGGGTTTACGAATTATGAATTGATGTACGAGTATGTCAGATTCGAAGGCTTTAAATGCTTTGTAGTTTGTGTAGCTTTACTTACAAATACTAGTCTATGCGAATCGAAATCGCCAGCAATATCAAATATATATAGGCCAATATTCTTTACTTTTATGTGAATGGTTGATTAAATATAGTGCTTTAGAAAGATATTTACATATAGAGATAATTGCGAAATTAAGTACTTTTACTTGAACCCTAAAACAGGGTTGCCAATCTCCTCCCTCCCCCCCCTCCATGGCCAATGGCGCTTGACCCTCTCCCAAGAAAAATTATTATTCCCTTAAAACGGCACGAATGAAAGTACAATTATGAAAGTCGTAGTTTGGTATTCATTTTGATCCTTGGTTTGAACCTTCTCCTGAATTGAAATTTCACAAAAATGTGGTTACTTTCCAACATCCATAAATAGTATGTAAACATGTGCCCCTTTAAAACATTTATAACGTCGTAAAAATGTGTCCCCTACAAAAATTATGATGGCGTAACCGGCGCCATGCAATCCCCTACTGGACAGCCCTCCCCTAAAAGCAGTTCAATAATATGGAATATATAAGTTGGTAGTTTAATATTTTGGTTTTAAGAAGTGTATGGAGGTACGTTAAATTAATTGAAAAATATAGTGGTGCTTTTAGCCACTACGTATAAGCATAGGAAGGTACTGTTTTAATTTGGAACTTGGATTACCAATATTTTTACATTTCAATGCCAGATCATAAATCATAAAGTATGATACGGATCTAAACCAGTTGTAAAAATGGGGAAATTTTTCGAGTTAACGAGATTAAAATTAATTAAAATTTTTTTTTAGCTTTAATGTTTTATTCACACCTGCCATAATGGTAATGACAACCAGTGAATGTGAGATCGATTGCTAAATATAATGTCATGAAAGGCATGAGGAGGATCAGTGCCCAGCGGCACGTCACTCGGCGTGATATCTACGTAAGTCGAGGAGATCCCTCATCCAGCTCCTCTTCAGTCTTCTACAGACGTTACCTGGCATATTCGTAGTGGCCATGTCATTTATAAGTGTATTAGGATGTCCTTGTAAGTTGTCATGGAATCGTTTGTAATGAGTACGTATATGTTCGTTAACAGTCGGCATATGGAGGTCAGTATGTAAGTTTATGTTGCTAACGTACCAAGGTAGTTTTGTAATTGTTCTGAATGTTTTTGCTTGAAAGATTTGAAGTTTGTTTAAGTGAGCCTTTTTAGCAGTTACAAATATCTGTGATGCGTAAGTCCAAATAGGTTTTAGTAAGTAATTGTATATGTTCAATTTCTGTCTAAGTTTTAGTTTTGAATTTTTCGAAAGAAGTGAAGTCAGAATTCTTAATCTTTGATTTAACGTTTTTCGTTTTTTGATTATATGTGGGCCCCACGTCATTTTTCTGTCAAATGTCAGACCAAGGTAGTGAACGGTGTCTGTCTGTGGAATCTGTGTATTGTCAAGGAAAACTGGAGGGCATGTTTCATGTCGAAGCGTAAATGTGATGTGCTGTGATTTGTCTTGATTTAGTCGGATTTTCCAAATTTTTAACCAGTCATGTAATCTTGTTAAATACTGTTGTTGGGTCTGTGAGGCGTTTGTTGAATTTTTGTGTCTTGCTAAAATTGCTGTGTCGTCTGCATATGTCGCTGTTAAAATGTTGTGACTACAAGGTATGTCATGGGTGTATGTGATTTAGAGTAGTGGAGCGACTACTGAACCTTGAGGTACTCCTGCTGAAATAGACCTGATGGAAGATAGTTCTGACCCGTGTCGGACCGAGAAAAATGTCTAATTAAAATGAAATTAATAAATAATAAACAAAATATGAAACTGTTTCATATTCCTTCAATTTATCGAATGGATCGTATTTGCAAAATTACTTCTTTATATATGGAAAATATCTGTTTCAGAACGCCATTAAAAGTCTAAGAAGCATCCAATAATTAATAATAATATTTTCTATGTCTCTTGACTCTGCTAGTGATTATTCGAATTATCAAGAAAAAAATTGTTTTGTATGTCATATTCTATTTTTCACACACATCGGACTCTCCTACAAATACGATGTTTCACCAGCCGATATCGTGAATTTTTAATTTATTATTCCGTCAAATCTGCTTTTTCGGTTGTCGCGGGATGTTTCTGATCATAAGAATTTTTTTTTCATTTAACTTATGTATTGAAAAATATTACAATCTGTCTCAAAGGACATTTATAATAGTGTTCAGAGATCACATTCACACTCTATGTACAATAAATAAAATAAATTATACAGAAAAATAATATATATACAATAAATAAGAATAAAATAACATAAAAATAAATAAATAAAAGGAACATATACATACCTATTTACACTATTTAAAATCTGGCGAGAGAACTCCAAGCCAGTCTGTCCCTCCAACCGTGGAGAGAAAAGCATGATTCCAGGAGATCCCTACACTACTCTCTCAACTGCGTCAGCGGGGCTAAACCCAGTGGAGATTGATCAAGAGTGCTTTAGCCACATACAATCATATCGTGAGTGGAGAATATGACCATTGCCAGAACTCCAATTTAAGAATTTAATTTTACGAAATAAGCTAAATTTAATATGAATGTTTATTTAATGCTATTTCAGAGCTGCGAGGTTTGGTTTTAGAATTTTCTCGCTCATTAATTAATTGGACATTGTAAATGTTTATCTCATTCTCATGTGTGAAAAATGCCAGTAGAAAAGGGGTTGTGTTTAGCGAAGTTGTCAACACAGTGCGGATTAGATACAGAAGTAGGACAAGATAGCAACTAGGCATACCTGGGAGCTAACACATAGCGGCACCGCAAGACCTCGTGTGAATTCAGTTCCGAATTTCCAACAGCTTTTAAATTCTTACCTTAAAATTATTTTAAAATTATTTTTTCCATCCACCTTAGCCTTAGTATAATTAAAAGACGATATTGAATTAAATTTATCAAACTAATTTAAGCCAGATGTCCTGCGATCTGTAGGTTCTATAAAAGTATTACTAGTTTTATGTTAGTAGCAGATGCTGATTACAGAGCGGAAACGTTTTAGTAATTTCGAATTAAACTAATTTTTTGTTAGTAAAATTTGTATCTTAACGACGCATTCCTTAGACCATCGATTCAAGAATCGTATGAGGGTAATGAATATTTTAAAATAAAACGGTCAAGTCATTATATTTAATGAACTATTAAAAAACTAACTTTATTAAAATTTTTATTTAGTTTTATTTCTTAGCAATTCCTTACATAATTTTTTGTTTTGAGTACAGCAATATACGAAAATTATTTCGACACTTAATAACCATACTTCTCATTTGTTTAAAAGAAAACATTCGATTATAGTTGCTCGGATACACTTCACAATTTATTTATTTTAAAACCCATTGTCGTAAAATATTGCCATTAAAATATTGTGAGGAGCGTGGAGTAA